TAAATATAGTCTCCTCCTTTAGTGAGATTCCCTCTATATATTTAAATGTTTCTATCATATCCACTGTAACGGATCTCATGGCACCCCGACTGGGTACCTCCATTAATGGATGCTTCCTAGCGCTTCCTGAGGACTCCAAGCACTGCAGCAGCCACCACAACCACCGAACCGGAGAAGCATACGAATGCTCTCAAGCATTGAATGCTGTAAGCAGCTGAACAGGAAAAGCATACAATCAGCTTACACTCCTGGCAATCAGCATACAATCCAATTCCCCCAATAACGAGACGACACTTCGTTTTGAGGTCAAGCAGAACTGACTGTACTGGCACATACAGCCTCTTTTATTCACAATCCACAAACATAGTACTGCCCACAGGGTTTTGAAATACAACCAATCAATCCGTACAATACACACAGACACTCCCACACAAAATCCTCCCCTCTGATATGACTGAACACAATGGTTAATATAATTATCACAGGCAGAGAAATACAGTATTATAAAACATATCACAGGGACCCCAAAACATGCAATAACCCCATATATCCTCGGAACCAGGGGATCTGGGTGAACCACATATCCAAAATTCACCCAGATCCATTCAGTAGTTTGGAAGATACAGTTTAATGCAGATTCCACAGAACATATACAGGCTATATGAAAAATAATTACTGTTAAATGTGTCCCCTGTTCTATAGTTTAAAACTACTGCACGATGTCTTTGTGCACCAAATACCGGCGAGATGGCACCGTGTAGAAAAGTCCAAACAGTGTCTGTGAGTTAAAATGGCCGACCATCCATTGTTCTCACCATGTGCTTCATCCATTGTTCTCACCATGTGCCTCTGATACATGAAATGGTGGCCACCCAGTAACACCACAGTATGTCCCCAGATGGTTCTTAAAGGGCCAGCAGCAGCATAATAAAATCAAGTATGCCCACATCAGTTCCTAGAAGGGCAATATATCCCAGGGCCATAGTCGCAGGGCAGGAGGCTGGCAAACAGGCCCCTCCAAAAACCAGTGGCGAGGTTACTTTCGCCATATATCTCCCCTGTGGGGGGTAGACTAACCAGGTACCTGACCTTCTGTCGGTCAGTGCCTGAGTTAGTCTGACAACCCACCCACAACAGCAAAGTGCAAGAGCAGACCACCCACAACAAACAGTTACTGCACCTGGGTATTTCTCTGGGGTAATGGGGCAACACGTTGTAGGGACTTGAGGGGCAGAGGCCAGCGGCACTCTGCCCTGATGCCAGCACTTCTGCTGGGATGAGGTGGGTGCAAGCCAGTTCTGTAACAAGGGGGTCGGTAGGGCAGAGGCCAGCGGCACTCTGCCCTGATGCCAGCTCTTCCGCTGGTATAGCCTGCAGGACATCATGCTCTGGACAAGGGACAAAAGGAGGGCAGAGGCCATCTGCACTCTGCCCAGCTGCCAGCTCTTCTGCTGGGGTGCTTGGGACATAGTCCCGCTCAGTAGCCAGGAGAACATGGGGGTCAGTGGGGGTTAACATCTCCTCTGTTAACCCAGGGGTCAAGTTAGGAGTTAGCTGGGGAAGGGAGAATTGGTTTACCTCCTCTTCCTGATACTCCTGCGATGGTAGCTGAGGATCTGGACAGGCTGTCCAGCATCCCTGTGGGTCAGGCACAGAGACCACGGTCCCATCTGCGCCATCTGGAAGATTGGTGTCTCCCCTTGGTAGGGTAAGCTGCTTCTGGGGAGAGAGGGTGCTGTGCTCCTCTCCCTGAATCACAGGCTGCCGCTGGAGAGGGAGACCGACCGTCTCCACTCCTGTAACATTGTCCTGCTGCTCAGGGCCGTCTTTAACAAGGGGCAAACGGGGCAGCTGCCCCGGGCCCAGTTGCTCCTGGGGGGCCCAAAGCAGCTGTCCCGTGGGCCCCCTGCCCGCATCCAGGACTGAACAGCCCACCGGGATACTGAGAAATATCCCAGTGGGCTGCGGCAAGTGAAGTAATCAGGGCCCCCCGGCCCTTTAATTGAGCACCCGACCGGGCCCCTGTCTGAATGCCTGCTGGGAGGAAGTGAGGTGAGATCACTTCCTCCCAAGTAACAGAGTGCCGCTGGGGAGGAGGAGACACACATGGAAGTGGAGGAGAGGGAGGATGCACACACAGGAGGAGGAGGTGAAGGAGAGGGACTGAGGTAAACATGTTCATCAGACTCCCATCAACCTCAGCCATCCAGCTTCCACTGGACCCCAGGGAAGCCACCCTTCTCTAAAGGTAAGGAGACAAGAGGGTGGCTAGACTTAAATTGATATAAATGTGTGTGTATCTGACTGTATGTGTGTATATCTGACTATGTGTGTATATCTGACTGTGTGTGTGTATATCTGACTGTGTGTGTGTATATCTGACTATGTGTGTGTATCTGACTATGTGTGTATATCTGATTGTGTGTGTGTATCTGACTGTGTGTGTGTATCTGACTATGTATGTGTGTGTATATCTGACTATGTGTGTATATCTGACTGTGTGTGTGTATCTGACTGTGTGTGTGTATCTGACTATGTATGTGTGTGTATATCTGACTGTGTGTGTATATCTGACTGTATGTGTGTATCTGACTATGTATGTGTATATCTGACTATGTGTGTGTGTATCTGACTGTGTATATCTGACTGTGTGTGTATATCTGACTGTGTGTGTATATCTGACTATGTGTGTGTATCTGACTGTGTGTGTATATCTGACTGTGTGTGTATATCTGACTGTGTGTGTATATCTGACTGTATGTGTATATCTGACTGTATGTGTGTATCTGACTATGTATGTGTATATCTGACTATGTGTGTGTGTATCTGACTGTGTGTGTATATCTGACTGTATGTGTGTATCTGACTATGTATGTGTATATCTGACTATGTGTGTGTGTATCTGACTGTGTATATCTGACTGTGTGTGTATATCTGACTGTGTGTGTATATCTGACTATGTGTGTGTATCTGACTGTGTGTGTATATCTGACTGTGTGTGTATATCTGACTGTGTGTGTATATCTGACTGTATGTGTATATCTGACTGTATGTGTGTATCTGACTATGTATGTGTATATCTGACTATGTGTGTGTGTATCTGACTGTGTGTGTATATCTGACTGTATGTGTGTATCTGACTATGTATGTGTATATCTGACTATGTGTGTGTGTATCTGACTGTGTATATCTGACTGTGTGTGTATATCTGACTGTGTGTGTATATCTGACTGTGTATGTGTGTATCTGACTATGTATGTGTATATCTGACTATGTGTGTGTATATCTGACTGTGTGTGTATATCTGACTATGTGTGTATCTGACTGTATGTGTGTATCTGACTGTATGTGTGTATCTGACTGTGTGTGTGTATCTGACTGTGTGTGTATGTATCTGACTGTGTGTGTATGTATCTGACTATGTGTGTGTGTGTATCTGACTGTGTGTGTATCTGTATGTGTGTGCGTTTGTATCTGGCTGTATGTGTGTATCTGGCTGTGTGAGTGTCAGTGTGTGTGTATCTGGCTGTGTTTGTGTCAGTGTATGTGTACATTTGTGTCAGTGTTTATGTGTATCTATGTGGATGTATACTTGTGAGCCAGTTTGTATGTGTACCTGCGTGTCTGTGTATGTGTATCTGTGTATGTAAATGAGTGTCAGGTTGTGTTAGTGTGTATCTATGCGTGTGGCAATGCATACGTTCCATCATTCCAGTACCAACACTGCACACATATACACTACTACATTCCAACGCTAACACTGCACACAAATACACCACTGCATGTGTATCTGTGTGTATCTCAGTGTTTGTGTAAGTGTGCATCTGTGTGGCATGCATTCATTTGCCAACACTGCACACAAATACACCCCTGCATGTGTACCCGTGTGTCTGTGTGCATCTTAATGTGTGTCTATATCTGTGTCAGTGTGTGTAAGTGTGTATCTCTGTGTGTGGATGTGCCAGTGTTTTTATCTTTGTATCTGTGTGTGTGTGTATGTATGTATGTGTCTGTGTGTGTATACGCCAGTCTGTTTGTATCAGTCTGTGCATGTGTCCAGATGTGTGCATGTATCAGTGTGCTAATGTGTATGGATATCTGTGAATGTATGTCATACATCCAAGCAATCAAACACAACATGCAAACACACCCCTGCAAACACAAACCTTACATACAAACACGCCCCTGAATTCAAACTCAAAAAGTATATAGAAACACACCCCTTCACTCTAACACCAATACTACACCGTACATGCACACACATACTCTATACAACAACATGCTCACATTCAAATTTACAAACACTGCTCACAAATACAGCCCTGCAAGAATGACCAAATGGTAGATCCCCAACTGGCATAGCATCGTGGGAATTGTACAACAGATGAGGATCTATCTTTTCTCCATTATTGTGCTAGATGGGAGGCCCAAAAAAAATGTCTTGCACCTGGGCCTTCTCTACATTAGTTATGCCACTGTATTGGGGTGGAGGGCATGACTGCATGCCAGGGGGTGGAAATGTGTGGAGGGGAAGGGCAGGATCCAGGGGGCCCAAGCAAATGCTTGCCCAGGGTCCAATCAATGTTAAAGACAGCCCTGCTGCTGCTGGAGAAAGAGACCAACAGTCTCTGTTCCTTGTAGGACACACTGCTGCTGGGGGGGGAGGACAACAGCTTCGGCCCCCTGGAACTCACACTGCCGCTGGGGAGGAAGGACGACACCTTCGGTTCTCTGTAACTCACACTGCCGCTGGGGAGGAAGGACGACACTTTCAGCTCCCTGTAACTCGCACTGCCATTTGGGAGGAAGGACGACACCTTCGGCTCTCTGTAACGCACACCGCCGCTGGGGAGGAAGGACGACACCTTCAGCTCCCTGGATCTCACACTGCCGCTGGGGAGGAAGGACGACACCTTCAGCTCCCTGTAGGGCCGGTAGAGAGACCTCGGTCTCATCTCTACCTGCTATCTGGAGGTCATCCCAGGACTAGTCAATGAGGTCTGGTTCTGCTTGTCGGGTAGGTTGGGGCTGCACGAAGCTGAGCAGGTGTTGGTAGTCCTGCTCCAGCTCCCACTCCCTTGTTACCAGGTGGGTCATGTCTTTGCCCACCTCGCATTCGTCATCCCAGACAAACATGCCCATCCGGTAGTCATAGATGTCCCAAAACCTAGACCCCTTCGTGCTGCCAAGATCAATGTTGTCCTCCAAGGCATCCCATAATAAACCCGGGCCATCATAATCATCCTCCTCCGGTAAGTCGTGCTCGGCCGTCCAGGGGGTAAGTCGAACGGTATGCCACCAGAGGGCCTGGTATGCGTTGTCTAGCCAGATCTCTCGCCATACCAGGGTCTCTAGTCTTGTCACCCACTTATCCAGGGGCTGCTCTCCCAATAGATACATCCGCATCGCCACACACTTCTGTAGCCGCTGCTCATCACTGGGGAGACTCTCACCTCGCCGTCACTGGGCATCATACCAGAGTTCCTTTCTGTCTGCATCCCTGTAGTCCATGGCCACCTCCTCCTCCTCATCATGGAACGCTGTCCGAAAACTAGCCGATTCCATCCTGCTGTAGCCAGGGGCGCTGTACGGATACTAGCGTTGCCCTCAATTTGTAACTCCAAACGTTACCAGTGTCTCCGAGCTGCTTCTCCTCACACTAGGACGCCATCCCACCGCTTGCCACCAATGTAACGGATCACCTGGCACCCCGACTGGGTACCTCCGTTGAAGGATGCTCCTAGCGCTTCCTGAGGACTCCAAGCACTGCAGCAGACACCACAACCACCGAACCGGAGCAGCATACGAATGCTCTCAAGCATTGAATGCTGTAAGCAGCTGAACAGGAAAAGCATACAATCAGCTTACACTCCTGGCAATCAGCATACAATCCAATTCCCCCAATAACGAGACGACACTTCGTTTTGAGGTCAAGCAGAACTGACTGTACTGGCACATACAGCCTCTTTTATTCACAATCCACAGGGTTTTGAAATACAACCAATCAATCTGTACAATACACACAGACACTCCCACACAATATCCTCCTCTCTGCCTGTGATATGATTACTGAACACAATGGTATTATAAAACATATCACAGGGACCCCAAAACATGCAATAACCCCATAAAAAGGCACCGTGTAGAAAAGTCCAAACAGTGTCTGTGAGTTAAAATGGCCGCCATCCATTGTTCTCACCATGTGCTTCATCCGTTGTTCTCACCATGTGCCTCTGATACATGAAATGGTGGCCACCCAATAACACCACAGTATGTCCCCAGATGGTTCTTAAAGGGCCAGCAGCAGCATAATAAAATCAAGTATGCCCACATCAGTTCCTAGAAGGGCAATACATCCCAAGGCCATAGTCGCAGGGCAGGAGGCTGGCAAACAGGCCCCTCCAAAAACCAGTGGCGTGGTTACTTTCGCCACAGTATATATTAATGAGGAATGGAGCATTTTAGTTACGAAGAAAGGTAAAAAAAAAATTAAATCTCTTTATTTTGGAAAAACGGCGCCTGAGAGGGGATATGATAACATTATACAAATATATTCGGGGCCAGTACAAACCTTTATCTGGAAATCTATTCATAAACAGGGCTATACATAGGACACGAGGCCACACATTTAGGCTGGAAGAAAGGAGATTTAATTTAAGGCAAAGAAAAAGTATTTTTACAGTAAGAGCAATAAGGAAATGGAATTCTCTGCCTGAAGAGGTGGTTTTGTCAGAGTCTATACGTTTCAACTGCAATTGGATAAATACTTGCAAAAACATAACATACAGGGATATCATTTCTAATTAGTGGGGTAATAGCTGCTTGATCCAAGGAGACATCTGACTGCTATATTGCGGTCATGAAGGATTTTTTTCCTAATTTGTTGCAAAATTGGAAGCGCTACAGACTAGATTTTTTGCCTTCTTTTGGATCAACAGCAAAAACATATGTGAGGAAGGCTGAACTTGATGGAAATCTTTTCAGCTATGTAACTATGTAACCCCTCAAAAGTTATATCCACAGATAGCCCCAAAGATCATATCCAAAGATCACTCGGATCGGTGAAGCTGGAATGCCAACGGACACGAGGAACTAGCCCAAAACAGTTCCAGGGAAATAAGTGTCCCGGCCAGTCTCTGTTTGGGGTTTCCTGAGCCAACATCAATGGATTCTCTTAATTTCAGGGTATGAATGCTCAACCTGTTTGGTAGTTCCCATCTCCCGAATGTCTTTTGCATATTTGGTTAGGAAGTAGAAGGGGCTACAGTCTAATCTTTACTGGGGTTCGTGTGAGTACCTAGATGAAAAGAGTTCCAGGCACTCAACGACCAAGTGCCACTGCCCACGTTTGGGAGACAAAATGTCCGCCACTCTTTTGTCGACGACGTGCATTTGGTTATACTAACTGGTGGTCACCCAGGGGACACATTCACTAATTACTTCCCTTGCGGTTTCGCACTTAAATTACTAGGTGAGAACATTCAAATAGGGTACCAGGGTGCTCCTCGTTCAGGAGTTGAATGCAGAGTGTTCATATACTATAACTCCCAAACGGAAAAATATAAAACACACAAATCAATACGCATTTGACTGTAGCTGTATAGCATACATTAAGCTATATAATATACAATAGGCTGTATACTGTACTATAAGCTGTATTCTATACATTAAGCTGTAATGTTCTGGTGATTATAGTTTCCATTTAACTAAATAGGATCTGTATTTCCATTCAGACATAATCGACAGATTACAGAATATTTTGATATTGTTAGTAAGTGTTTGATCAAATTCAATACTTCTAAATTCCTTCCAATTAATTTTCAATGTATATATTATTAATACCTTATTGATTGGCTAAGGGGGAGAACGACTAAACAGAGTATTGTACTTTAGAAAATGATTCTGATCGGCATTTATGCAATACTTCTAAATAAACCTTAGATTGGAATCTCTATATTATATATCTTCTGCTGCACACTTGTATGCTTCACCCAATCCAAAATTAAACAAAACAACAAGTGGTGTACACATAACAGCATGAAAGAAAAAACGCTTTTTATATATTCAGAAATAAACCTCAATATAGAACACCAATCTCTCGAGAGTGTATTTTCTTCAAAGGGACACTCTACTGCACGAAGACAAAATAAATAACAAACACTGGTTAGTAAATACTCAAATTAAACCATGCATGCATTTACTTTTATATCTAAAGTTTTGATAGTTATATCTAAAAACAGCTTGCAAAAAAGATAGTTCTCCTGTCTGCAGCCTTTGTAAGCCCTCCCATTCTAACCCCGCCCAGACTTTCTGTGTCTGTCCAATCACAGACTTCCCAATGCAGCTCAATGTGAAGTCTTTGCAAGGCAGGTGGTCTGGACAATTGCTGCCTCTTGAGTTTAACTCTACTGAGCTAAACAACCAGGAAGTAACAGGACCTATGTCTGATTGACAGCCAGGGGGGTGTAACAAGTATAATTGATAAAAGTGTCAATGTCTATTGAAATATGCACTTTTTCCAAAATGAAATAAAGAAAACATACTCTTTACACATATAGCTTTTCAGCAAGATAACGTGCTTTAGGGGTTCGGGTGTCTCTTTAAATATTTTCTCCAGGTGTAAATGTAAAGGAAAGAGAACATAATAGAAATATAGTGTAATATTGTTATGGAAATCTCTTTGTACTAAGGTTTATTATCCATACTCACATGTATGGGAACTTTGGAGCCATTTACAGGTGGTACCACTTCTTATTATTTTTGACGAGGTCAGGCTTTATGTTCTTCTCAGCGTGGTTCCTCTCACTGAAACACCCATAAATAAATATATAATCGCTCCATCTAGAGCAAATTATCATCACACAAATAAACACATATATACCATAACGTAGCCACTCACATTTATTATTTATTGGCAGCATTGTATATTGCTCCTAAAGTTAAATTGTTGTGTCTCTTTATGGGTGATATAGTACCAGAAAAACACAGTTCTTGGCACTATAGGTAAA